ACGTCTCCAGCCCCCTCCCACCCAGCTAACTCTCCGCTGAGGGCCTTCATGTTTCACTGAGGAGAAGATGTCACGTGGGAGGCGACTGCCCTGTGCCTCCACCTTCATGTGACCCCTGACCTGCTCTGTCTCCCCGCCGGGGGAGACAGATGGATGACCGATCCTCCTGCCTAAGTAAACCCGCGATCGCCAATCAGGTCCCATGTCCTCTTGCCTACTCCTTAGACATGACTCCAGGAAGTCTCCTCCCCTCCGCTGCCTCAGCCATTTTCCCAGCTCTCATTATCAAGACAGACTATAATTCTTCCCATCTCGAAACGATGGCGGCGGCATTCTGCCCCCACAGGCCCCATCCAGTTGCCATTCCATTTTGTTTATCTTCGCAGCAAAATTCCTGACATTTTTCCACCTAAAGCCGGGACCTCAGCTCTGAACTCCAGCTCTATACCGACTGCCGTACATTTCCATGTGGATGGTTAATATTGCAGATGAAACTCCCCATCTTTCCCTCACTCAGACCCGTGCCCTCCATCCAAGCAAAAGGCACCTCAACCTCCTGGTTTGCCATGCCAGCAACCTTGGTGTCATCCCCGACCCTCTACTTCTGACCACAGGCCCCAGCCCTGCTCAAACCCCCACAATTGCTGTTGGCTTTCTTTCCAGAAAAGGAGAGGCTCGGTTTCTGGACAACTTCTCACCACCTCCACTGTCGTCACGTGCTTCCAGAAGCTCTCTCCCCTGGTTTGCTCTAAAACCTCAGGTCTCGTTGCTGCGACCCCTGGCCCTTCCCTGTAGTCTCCCCACTGCCATCGAGTGGATTCGGATGCAGAGCAACCCCTGGGGCGGCAGAGAACTGCTGCTGGAGCTTCCTGGGCCTGCAAAGCCTGATAGGAGGAGGAGGCTGATCTTTCTCCTGGTGGAGGTTAGCAGCCCACCTGCCAACCTACTATGCCACAGGGACTTCTCAAAGGGAGAAAGGAAGGAAGCAGCCAGCTAGAATCTTCCACCCTCCTCCTACCCATCTGTATTTTTAAATATTTCTCGTCCAGCCACAAGTACTACCTTGGAAGAAAAGACTGGCAATCTACTTCCAGAAAATCAGCCACTGAGAACCCTATGGAGCAGAGTTCTGTGCTGCCTGGGGTCACTGTGACTTAGAGAAATATCGATGTGACAGTGACTGGTTTTAATGGCGACTCAAAGCAGCGCCATGGGGGAAAGGGGTGGGGAGCCATGCCTGAAACTCAGACAAGAGCCCTCAGTAAGATTTTCTGATCCTCAAGGTCAGTCATGGGGGCTTTTCCTTTGTGACAGCTGGCAATGCAGGCCTCTCCTCCCTCCCTCCCAGCAAATCCTGCCGTTTGCCTTTAGGCCCTTTTAGGGTATGCATCTATAGCTGACAGCCCTGAGCTCCTCTCTCCTGTGACTCAAGCACAGGGCATGTAGGAACCAGAACATAACTCATTAACAGCGGGGGCCCATTGTCCCGATAAAGTTACCATTCCAGGAGAGAGGGAAGCCCTGAGGGGCAGCAAAAAGGTTCAGGCTGAGTAAAGACACAAAACAAGCATCCAGTCCCGCAGGCTGTGGGAGGCCAGATTACCGAGTTCAGGTCATTTGTCCCTGAGATCCAGAAAAGGACGCTCTGGACTTGGGTGGGAGCGCTCTGACCCTCAAACGGTCATCTCTCCCAGGAAATAGGAAGAAAGGACTGAGTTTAGAGAGAACAGGGGATCGATCACAGGATGTTAGAACTACAGGTGACCTGGCCTTTCCTTTTGGGATGTCTGTCCTTTCTGGCTATGTAGGAGAATCCCATCGGCGGACAAGAACAGAGGTGCGAACAACAGGGGCACTGTGGACTGTGTGGCTTAGTCTAGGAGGTAGGCAACTGTGCAGAGCAGGCGCCAAGAAGGGGTGTGAGGGGGTCTTCTGCACGAGACAGAGGAGTCTGGGTTTATCCGGTAGAGAGCTGGGAGCCAGGGAAAGTGAGGGCCTTTTATCAACAGGTTACTTGACAAGGAGAGAAACCTCCCAAGGAATCATTTGCACACACCCTCCCCCATAACTTAGCTGCCCTGGGGTTTTAGGAAATGTTAAAAGTGCTGTACCGAAATGCTATACATGTCTTTTAACACACTAGGAGCCTGGGGCCAAATCGGATTACGGGGACACAAATGTGATGGGTAGTTTTAAATTGCACCATTTCTCTCCAGTTTCTCAATGGCTGAGTGTCCAGAGCTTAGGCGGACCGTGTGCCCAGCTCTGTTGTGAGAGAAAATGTAGTTCTACGCCTGTTCTTAAAGCTCACCCCCTCTTCTCAAGAGCACGGCTGCCCAGGTCTGAGGCAGACACAGTCACTGCACGAAGCCTGGGAATGTTCTCTCTGGCTCTCCACGTCGCTTCCAATAAATTCAAATAACGCAGAGCAAATTGTTCACTTAGAAATACTTAATTGGAAATATAAACTTTCATCACTGCTTTTTTTAGGACTGCTGGGTTGGCTTCCTCCCACCCTTCTTCTTCCTCTCTCTTTCCCCAGACTGATAACCATTTATCGGGTTTCCATTTTTTAAAGGGAAATGGCACCAAAGAGAAGAGGCAGTTTCTGAAAGTTTCTCCACTAGTGTCTCAGAAGGGGAAAGGGGCTGAGGCCCAGAGGGTTTTTCTCTCCCCCATTCACAGCTTCCAGCCCTTTGTTTGTTTAACAAACCATTGCAATCACACCCAGTTCAGTGGGGGAGGAATGCCCTCTGAGTCCCTGTCCTAGCAGTCCGCATGTGTGGTCTGCCACACAGCCCAGCCGCAGGGCAGCGGCTTCACTGTGCTCCTCTATGATCCCCATCTCCCCGGAGGGAGGCGGGGGTGGGCACCTTGCTCACAATGAGCCTCCATTTCCCGCACTGCATGCTTGCTGCTCCCTCCCAGTAGCCTATAGCAATATCTCCCCCTCTGCCCATCCTGCTTGGGCTTGTCCTGCCTGCTCCTGAAACAGACACCGCCTGGTGCGTTCGCTGCCCCCTACCTGTCTTCAGCCCACGCACTGACCACTGAGTGCACACATTCCAGGTTCCTCTCATGTCAATCACACTGCCAATGGAAGACACAATGACAACACTCCCTGCCCCCACCTTCTCGGCCTAACGAGAAACGGCGAGTGCCCTTGTCTGTTTCTGGTAGATAGGTTGGCCTGGTTGGAATGACTTTCAACTTCTTGTTCAACAAACCAAAATACCAAAATATTTCAAACATAAATTAGAAGCCTTAATCAAACAATAATAGTGTTTGTCAGTTGAGCTCTGAGTGTCCGCTTGTACTATTTTATCTAATAGTTTCTATTCCACAATCCTGGGAGAGAGGATGAAGGGCATCATTTTACCCATCTAATAGGTAATGACATTGAGACTCGGAGGGCTTTATTTTGCCGATAGGCACCAAGGAATGAGACACTGCAGCTAATGTACTCTTCTCAACAACATACCCAGCCTATAGTAAGACCCCAACGATGCTGCTGTTGCTGGCAGGTCAGCGCGCCAGTCATTTCCGACTCATGGCAGGTGACCCCATGCACAACAGAATACAACGCTGCCCAGTCCTGTGCCACCCTCACAATTGTTCTTAAACTTAAGCCCATCAATGCAGCTACTCTTAGCTTTCAATAATGTTATTGCTCTCCATAGAGATGTAACCAGATTAATAGTTCCTTAGGGTGATGGCAGGGAAGGCACCCTAATAACGATGGGTATAAGAAATGTAGAAAAGGTTCTAAAATTGATTTTGGTGATGACTGCACAACTCTTTAAAATAGTTAAACCATTGAATTGTACGGACCATGAATTACATGCCAATAAAACTGTTGAAAAATGTATTGCTGATGACCACAATGAAGAGAGACAGCACCCCGGAGTTCTGAGCAAAGTAAGGCAAGTGTCTTCCCCCCTGACATCATGCCATGCTCCCAGCCAACTGTCTGTAAGGGCAGTGGACTTCAGCAACAGCTCTGGCGAAAGTATTGCCAAATAAATCCCACATGGCTGGGACCCTTAGCACAGCTGGCACGTGATTAGCATCTTTCCTGGGCTTATTAGTCACCATGTCCACAAAGGGAGCAGCAATGTCCTAGCCGTCTTCTCATGGACATAAATTTAGAGCGCAGGAATGGGCAGCTTTAAGGTTTTTAACCAACAGGGCTGTCAACGCAGCTTTCCAGACCTCTGCAGGTATACTGGACTTGTGGATGGGGGACAGTAGAGGATGAAACATCGCTTAATCGTATCATCTGAGTCCCTGAAACGTGGGGTTTTCGGCCATGCCCCCAGGGGCCTTTTCTTCTAGAAGGACGACTTTTCAGAGAGTGTACTGATGCCTTCACAAAAAAGAAAAAGCTGATGGAATCCTGCTCGGTCACTGGATTAATGGGTCCTTGGGGGTACGGCAGGGGAGCTGGGGGGTGACGGGGAGCTAGTAACAACGAGGACAAGAATGAAGAACATGTTCTAAACAGATGGTGGTGACGACTGTACAACCCTTCTTGATGTGACTGAACTAGTGAATCGTATGACATGTGAATTACATGCCAATAACGCTGTTGAGTCGGTGGGATGCGTGAGTCTCAGGAACTCACAGGGGCAGCTCTGCTCTGTCCTACGTGGTCGCCATGAGCAGGCACTGATGCGATGGTGGTGAGCTGAGTATGAGATTAAAATGTAAACATTAAAAAAAAAAAGAATCCTGCTCATTGGAACTTGGTATTTGTGGGGGGAAGTGTCTTTATCTTCCACAGGAACCCTTTGGAATTATCTAGAACACCGCCCCCCCATCTTTCCTAGGACGTGTTTTTACACGTCCCATTGTGTGTTTACAATCGGTTATCAGTAAGGATGCCCAGCTAGAAATGAGTCTTAAAGGCTACCATTGCTTGCGTACCTGCTCGGGAACAGGAAGCATCCACTGCGAGATGGCCCAGGAGTCCTCTTGGGATTTTGTCTGAGGATTCAGACCTGTAAGGAGAGCTTTTCCCTATCTTCAGTAAATGAAGCTGGAAAAACATGCCTGCCACCCCCCACCTCCCCAAGATGCTGTCACCCAAGCTCCACTCCCAGCGTGGACATACACCCAACGATGGATGGGTGCTGAGGCGCTCCTTCACCCGTTCTTGGTACATCAATATTCACAGCAGATTGGTTTGTAGTAGAAAAAAATTGCAAGCAATTCAGATTTTCTTCGGTGGGCAAATGGTTAAGTAAATCATAGCTTATCCAGTCCCTGGAATACTATTCAGCGATAAAAGGGAATGGGTGATTGGCACATGGAATAACTTGGATGGACATCGGCGAACTATGCTGAGTGGGAAAAAGGAAGAAAGCAACCCACCAAGATCCCAATTCCATGTATACACCATTTTTAGATTAACAAAACTATGCAAATGGAGAAGAGATTGGTGTTGGCTGGCATTTAGGAGAAGGGGGGTGGGTAGGGGGCAGGTGCGAGGAAGTGAGGGCAAGGGGGTTGTAGTACAACAAAGAGCTGAGGTGAGGGAACAGTTAGTTCTGCATCACTAATTTTAATAGAGGGCAATGATCATTTGTAAACATTAAAATCTGGGAGGATTAGCTCCACTGGCCCACTACTCTTGAATTTTAAAATGTCTCACATATACCAGATGGTCAAAGTCATAAACATTTAGATGATGTGATATATGAGTATTCAATAGCTGGATTCAAGTCCCTAAATTACAGTTGAAAAGATTCCCAATATCTCAGACAACCTTGTCCACTCAAGACCCTGAATCATTTATGTATCTATGTTATTTGTCCTTCCAGCAACCGGATTAGAAAAATCCAATAGTTTTTCTGTTTTCCACAAAAAAGAACACATGAAATAGCTTACATAAAATGTTCAAAACAACATTCAGAGGAAATGGCAATTTTGTTTTTTTTTTTAAACCAACCATGTTAAAGTAGCATACAACAGATATGCAAATATATGAAACAGAACTTAAAACAAATTATGAATAGCAAGTCAGAAATAACCAGTCGACACTTGTTTTCATCAAAAGCTTCAACAAATGTACACTCAAAAACCAAATTCACTGCCATCAAGTTAATCCTGACTGGGAGTGGGCCCTATAGGGCAGACTAGACCTGCCTTCTCCGGGGGGTTCCCAGGCGATATTAACTCTTGACAGAAGTAGAAAGGCCATCTTTCACCCACAGGGAGGCTAGTAGTTTTGAACTGCTAACCTTGTGATTTGCAGAACGACAAGTAACCGGTTACACTACCAAGGCTCCAATACATGTATAGATTTATCCAAGTTTCAGGGCAAAATGGCCGAAGTACCTAAATTGAATATGCAACTCAGGGGTTAGCAAACCTGGCTATGTCTTAGCAGCAACAGAGGAAGCATTTTAAAACAAAGCTCCCAAGGCCGTCGCGCAGACTGACTTGATACTACCACCCAGAGCCCTGAGATCTCTTTGGAGGGCGTCCTTAGGAGGCCAGTCTGCAGCTAGCTGTGCACCACTGCCTCTGACATGGCGTAGCTGGAAACTCAACTTGGGTCACCAATTCAAGATACCACGTTGGCTTCTTCCAACTAAGGCAATTCCAACAAATTGATCCTCTTAGAAGTGGGGGGCGGAGAGTGTTTCAGGATTTTCTTAACAGTATGGAGATAAATCTCTTAGGAAACAAAAGCCAATGGGGGAGGCACACCTCGCTTTACTCCACTTCGATTTATTGCACTTCACAGCCCTGGGTTTGTTTGTTTGTTTTGTTTTAAACAAGTGGAACGTTTAAAGCAAGTCTACCCTGCCACTTTCCCACCAGCATGTGCTCACTTCGTGGCCATGTGGCACATTTTGGTAATGCTCACAGTATTTCAAACTTTTGCATAATGCTATCGCACACTTAGCACAGGGTACGCATGCCTTTGTTCTTCTTTGAGAAACCCCCAAACTCATGTGACTTGCTTTATGGCTGCGGCCTGGAACAGAGCCTGCAATATCTCTGTCTGGTATGTCTGTGCCTGGGTAAGTGATTTATTCCTTTCCTCGCCTGTTTTCACCTATCTGATCAAAACACCTATGTCCATTTATTTTATATGGGAACAACCTTTCAATTAGAAACAGATTCATTATGGCCATTTCCTGACTGACTAAGGTTTGGAAAGCTCTACAATTCATATGAAAGCTGAAGGTGGGGAGGTCATTTGCCTGAATCAATCGGATAATTTGCTTTACTTTTTTCTCTGTCCCTCTGCTTTGCATGGATGAACACTTCACAGGTCATCCTCCTGGCCACATCTCCTCCTAAGATG